CCTGCTCTCGGCTATTACCACGGTTACGGGTTTAACCATCAGGTGTTTCCCCAGACTTTTGACAGACTAAACAAAGAAAAGATTACTGTACTGTTACGTGATATCTGTCTTCCTGTATGGCAGTGTATGCTAGACAATCTCCTCAAAGATGAAGAAGATACTTGAAGTAACAGAAATATGGTTCAACAGAAGGATGCTGAGGCTACCACGAATTGAACATGTGAGCAACAACAAAGTTTTAGAGAAAATGAAAACAAAACCGAAACATATTTATCATCAGGAAGAGACAGTTGAATTTTCTAGGGTACATAATGAGGAGAGAAGGCTTCAAAAATCGGATACTCACAAGGCAGATTGAAGGCAAATGGGACAGAGGAAAGCAACGCGTCGCATACTTAGTTCGTTGTGTAAATAGATGGCGGAACAGGGTTTAGGAGAGATAGCAAAAAGACAAAATTTATTGAGTACAAAGGACAGGAAATTGTGGAGAGCCATGATTGTATACAACATGAGAGGACAGGGCACATGAAGAAGAAGAAGAAGAAGAAGAAGAAGAAGAAACATTTCGTAAGTACAAAGGTAGCAGTTAATAGTGTATACTACTGTATAGAGAGTTTAGTCAATAGTTTCGTTCGCTTGGTTAAGAGTCAAAGCTGCCAATAAAGGAGCAATGGTTTGACAAGTCTCGCAGACAATTACTATCGTAATGTATTCAGTTGTCCCTGCGTGTCCTACATTTGTGGCTTTGTATTGTACAAGGACAAGCTCTGTAAATATCAATCTTGTCCCAGTTCCTAATGAGACAACAGCATCCTTATTAAGAATCTTATACACAAATATCTAATTTACTTACATTCATATATATGTCTGCGTATATATGTGTGTATAGGCGTGTGTGGTGTAAAGTCGCCAAAACGCTTTCATATTTACAGAAATCCTCATTGCGAGAGACACATTCAGGCATTGGAACGTATTAACACGCGAACAGATAACCAGAAACGCATGAGCCGGATCTTTAAAAAAAATAAATAAGCAAAAAGAAAACAAAAACAACTGTAATGTGTTTTCGAGGCAATTTGCACATACCACAAGTGAAATTAGCGATTTTAATCAGGCAAGGACAACAATGAATGTTTTGGCGCCAGAACATTCTCGAGAACGGCGGCCATCTTTAATTTGCGGAGTTAAAATCACATCAGACACAGAAATAACAAAAGAATAGCAATCAAACAAAATATGGGTCATTTGATGAGACCAGATGACAATTAACTTCTGTTCATATAAATGGTCGGCGTATCCAGTTAATGGGTGTAGTACGCATCTAGAAAAAATAGGCTATGTATTATTTCGTCTGTTTGTAGTGTCTGTAAAAATTATTATGAACACTCGACGCAACGTTAATAATAAGAAATTCTCATGTATTAATGAGTGGGTGGTATTGAAGCTCAAGAATTGCTAAGCTTTTTTCGATGTATGCATTATTATTATTATTATTATTATTATTATTATTATTATTATTATTATTTCTAACATATGATGTTTACCAGTAAGAAGTTTATTTTCAGATAATGACTCGTGACTTAAGAAAATAAACCGGTCATTTCTTTAACATTCTGTATCCTACTTTGCGAAATATTATCTCTTTTTCGAACAAACAAGCGTTTTTTAATGGTTTCCTTTCCTAATCTCAATGCAATATCCGTAAGTTGGTTTCATATGTTTATACAACACACCAATATTCCAATAATCACTGATACTTATTATTATATTTGTTAGTCTTTTGCAAACTTGCACATATTAAAACTTGGAATCATTGTAGTTGTCGATTTTCTTTCGTTTTGTGTCTAATTCCCATATGAAAGGAAACTTCTATCAAGTACAACAGAACTAGTTTATTTTATCCTAAAGTTATACCAGAATACCCCACAAGATTTCCTTCAGCATTTTCTTCTCCTTTGTGATTACATGTTCATAATAGTTGCCAGCACATTCAAATCCGCGTTTTTACACAACTGAAAATCAATAATGGAAACAACTTTATAATCTTTCCATTTATTTTACTCATTCTGAGCCATATACTTATATTATTATTATTATTATTATTATTATTATTATTATTATTATTATTATTCATGAATTTGTACGTTTGATGTTTATTGCTAGAGTTTAATTAATAGCAAGTCTTTTCAAATCCCCAACAGGTTTCTCAATATCATTGCAAGTCACAGGTTGCCATTGTTTTTACTATTTTACCATTTTTTAATGTTTAGGCTCTAAAATATACGACATAATGTTGCCCATGGCTAAATTCTGGTTTAAAAAAATTGACAGTCTACATACGCCAAAAATATTTGCAAGTCCATTATGGATTTTGCGAGCTTTTTTTTTAAATTCGTGATGCAATTTGTGTAATCCATAATTCCTGATGCAATTTTTGCGCCACTGATAGCGCGGTGGTTAACAAGCTCATCTCACCAATTTCCTAGTTCCATGAATGTGATCTTTGATGGGTAACCATTACCTGTAGCCAGTAACTGTAAGTTATGATTTGTAAAGGATAATTAAAGTTAAGAATATAATGGATTGAATTGAGTACAATATATCAATTCTTCTTGGATTAATTATGTCTTTGTTAAAGAAGCAAAGATTGGCCAGATTTTGTCTACAGGCAGATACTTGTCAGGTTTTGTTTATAGGCAAGTATTTGCCAGGTTTTGCCTAAAGGCAAACATTGGCCATGTTTTGTCGAAAAGCAAATATTGATCAGGTTTTATCTAAAAGCAAACATTGGTCAGTTCTTGTCAATAGGCAAATATCGGTTTGGTTTTGTCGATAGATAAATATTAGTCAGGTTGTTCTAAAAGCAAACATTGGTCAGGTTGTTTTTGTAGGTGGACATTGTTTTGTTTGTCGAAAGTTTTGTCCATAGGTTGACATTGGTCAATTTTTATCTAAAGGCAAACTTTGGTAAGGTTTTGTCTATCGGCAAACATTGGTTTTTTTTTTTTTTTTTTTTTTTTTCAGATAGACAAATATTGGTGGTTTGGTATTGTCTAAAGGCAAACATTGGCCACGTTGTCTATAATCAAACATTAGGCAGGTTTTGTCGATATGCAAATATTGGCTAGATTTTGTTTGAAGGAAAACATTGGTCAGGTTTTGTTTAGCGGTAGACTTTTGTCTAAAGTTAAACATTGGCCAGGTTTTGTTTAGAGGCAAACACTGTTTGTGTTTTGTCCATAGGCAAACATTGGTTGGGTTTTGTCTTTAAGAAAACACTGGGCAGTTTTATCGATAGGTCAAGTTTAGCTTGTTCCCCTGGCGCCATGTTTTGCATTTGTCAGCAAGATTCTTCCTTTCTGTTCGGTTTTCCGTCCATATTTTCGACTCTTTCTAGTCAAACCAAGTCTTTCATGAACTTCCGTCTCCATTTCAATTTCGCTCGCTCTCTGTTCTTCAACTATCCCTGTTTTCAATGGAAAGACGCGTATTTCTGAAATATTAAATTATCTAAAATACTTATTATGTGTATTTAAATTTATTAACATAGTTTATTTTTAAATTAAAAGAAACCGCGTTCATTTTTGTCAGCACCAATATTAATATTTGTCCCCTTTTAACACGCTCTTATATGTTCTGTTAACAGAATAGTCTTCAGTTAAAGATAACATCTCTCAACACTAAATTTGAAGGATAGGTAATTAGTAAAGATCAGAAGATCAAAGTCACAGTAACTAGTGAGAATCGAACTCTGTAGTGTTCTTTTATATGTCAGGTCATGTTCTTTTGGTAGAATATGGCTCTCCTCAATATTTAGTTGTTCTAAACAACTTTTAACCCTTTAACATACCTTTGTCCGTTCTATATTTTCTCAGACGCGTCAATAGCTTATTCGCTGTTTCCTCTGAATGTTAATTTCTCAGAGCATCCATTCCTTGTTATTTATCCTAGAATTTTCAGCTGTCTCTTTCTGGAAGGGCTCCCTCAGTTAGCAAATCCTTTCTAACAAGTAGGTCCCTGAAGGTTGTCATTAACGGTTATCGGAAGCCCATATGAACAATGCCGATGTTCCTCAGGGTTTTCTCTTCGGTCCACTTTCTATTGGATATTAATGATTTGCTTAAGAGCATACTCTATCCTTAGTTAATATCTACGCGGATGATGCAGAAGGTTCTAGGTGCACCTCCAAAAATCTGGATGACCAGAACCTTTGACCCAGTCTTGGTAGCTCAATGGAGTAAGCACTGGCTTGTAAAATTCAATATGGCCAAACCCAAACTAGTAACGTCCCACCACCACCACCGAGTAGACCCCGAGCTTTCACCTATCATGATAGATAGGTCTTCTCTCAAGAAGACTTCTTGCTCCGAACGTCTACTGAGATTCAAGCTCTCCCCAGGCCTTAAGTGGATTGAAGCGCACCATTGTGTATCTGACTCCCTGCTATAATCTATCTTTACAAAAGAAGGATGAGGCCATAAATGCTGCCATTTCTTAGGCCTCATTTGGTTGTCTTGACAGAGTTCAGAAGCATCTACGCGGACTTGTAGATAATTAATTATTTCCCACCCTACAACGCTTTTTTTCCCACAAACGAAACATCGTGAGTCTCTCGCTGCTTTATCGCAATTTCCATGACATGTATTCTAACCAGCTACATTCCTTAGGCTCACCACCTCTGACCTTTACAACTTAGACAAACCATGTCACGTATGCAAGTATGAATCATCCTCATTCCTTTTGTATTTCATTAGTAAGGAGTAAGTTCCATTCAGACAGCTTCTTCACAAGAGCTGCTGCTTTGTGGAACAGACTCCCGCTAACATGTTTACCCAGTCACTACAATCTTGACCGCTTCAAGTCTAGCTTTAATTGTTCTCTTTCCTGGATAACCGCATAAACTTCACTTCTTGCATTTTTTTAACCTCATGCAGTAACTCGCTAACTTGAGTGGCTCTTGGACCTTTTATTAGATGAGGCTTAGTATAAAAAATACTGGCTTACGGCCATATCACGTTGAAACACCGGTTCTCATACGATCACTACAGTTAAGCAATATCGATACTAGACAGTACCTAGATGGGTGACCACTTGAAAATACCAGGTGCTTTAAGCTTGGATGTATGGGTAGTGTAATGAACGACAGCTCGGAACTGAAAATCGTAGAACCAAGTTCCAATTCCAGTCGAGTTTGTTATATTCACTTACCCGCAAATACTTTTAGGAAAAGTATGGATCCACCTCTTCTTCCCCGAGCTATGGGTTAATTAGGAGGACTTGTATCAGTAAATAATTATTATTTTTACAATCTAAAAATATTTTCTGCCTTTAAATAACCTGCAGATAATTGGGAATTCGTAAAAACAAAACAATCAAATCAAATCATAAAAAAAAACTTTCGCCACTGAAAGACTGAATGATATAAAACAAAAATAAATTTATAAACACATTTTTTTTTTTAATTTTTAGACAATTTGAATCCTGTACGGGAACATTTTTAAATCCAGTTTCAGAATCTTCTGAGGCGATGTTCTGCCTCATTGAGCAGAGCGACGACGGTTCGAAGACTCAAGTGGACTCTGCCGTACAGCTTCCATCGCTGCGTCAGTTTGCACAATGCGCTTAGGACCTCTTCCCGGAAGATCGACAACTGATCCAGTTCTTTCAAACCGGGCGATTAGGCTCCGAATCTTGTTAACGCAAGGCGATACTCTGATACTAAAATATTGCCGGTATTTTCTCTGAGTTTGAATAATTGATCTTTCATTGAAATAGAAAAACTCAAAGTGTTTTACTTTATTACTCGTTACTGGACATCATGCGAAGCAATTTTAATCTCCAACGGATGCTTTATAACCTACAAAAGAAAGAAAAGAAAAATGATTGAAAACGAACAATCTTCAATTTTACAGTATCCACCCTATAGTTCCTAACATCTTTAAACATTTTCTAGTTTCTTAGATGTTAGAAGAACCACAATCCTGTCGCTTCAAGTTTCTTATCTTTGAGACTAACTTATTTACCATTCTCTCATGGCAAGCGTATGCAATTTAATTATTATTTTTTAAATGGCTTTCAAGATCTTCTTTATATGAAAAAGACAGTACAGTGATTTCCCGTTCCATTTTCGATAGTTTTGAATTTAAATTAGTCTTTTTCTTAAACTTATTGTCACCCAAGGCTATAGTCTGCTTTATTATCTAATTCATAGTGAACGGTTATAAGAAATGAGTTCATGCCTTTCCTAAAGGCGTTCGTGCATAGTGAACACAACAGAGTAGACATGAATTCGAACTCGGCTCGCTGATTCTACTTAGTGCAGGTAGCCTAACGGGTATCGGTTCTGCAGGCCAGTCAACTTCAAAATGAAGGGTTTGAATCGCAGGTAATCGAGGTCAGCTGCCAAATCGTAAAACCGTTAATTTGACCAAGGGCATGGGTTTAATTAACAAAAACCCTTTTTAAAACAAAAATAACCACAGAGAAGAGGGAAATAATCTAAATTTCTATGTCATAAAAACAAAGAAAAAGGAAGAAGAAAAAAATTGTACGTGAAAGGGCGGGAGATATTTACCCGGGTTTGACGAACTACAGTCAGATTTGTAAACGGTAACGTGTTCCTTATTTGCCGTAACATGACGTGTCCTAAAAAATAGCTTTCTCTTTTTTTTCCCCCCGCTTTTTTTAATACACAAAAACTTGAAAGTTAATTAATCGAGGACGCACACACACAAACACACGCGCACGCACACACACACACGCACACGCACACACACACACACACACACACATATATATATTACGAATTCTTCTTGCTGCTTATTTGACATTTTAACTTTGACGTAAAAAGATTGTTGATCTTTTGACAAATGAATACCAAATCTGGATAAAATATTTTTTTCAAAATGTCAAAAATAAAACAATTATCTTTATGTAAATCAAAACGATAGAGTAATTTACAAAGCATAGTTAAATCTGGAACAAGGTCCCACGTGTGGAGCACTTCAATGCGTATTGAGCTCATTACACAATAGCGTTTGATATCTCAGTTAAAAAAATATTAACTCATGGTAACAGGAGTCTCAGGAATCATCCAAATGGTTTGGATTTTAATTTTCCCAATAAAATACTCGTTCAATTTTCGTTATTTTACTAACCCGATATTTTTTTGTTCAATGCCTTGTTCTTCTAGGACTTAGGTGATCCTAAATTCCTACAGAATCTGTTAATTGCCATACATTCGCAGGAAACATAGGGGAATGTCTTCCCGTTGCCTTCTCCATGATTTCCTTCATTAAGCCTGCGTGCCACCTAGGGGTCGAGAGCCCAGTCTCCCTTGCTATTTAAACCATTGTCGAGGGTGGGGAGAAGAGAAGAAGTCATGATATTTTCCAAAGACATTTGTGCGAAAGTGAACGCAACAGACTAGTCAGGAATTAAACACGGCTTGCCGATTCCACTTACCACGCCAATATTCGTTACACTAAGCATTAAATTACGATTCGCATATTGCTATGCATTGTTGTTATTAATGTTTTGTTTTGTTTTTTTTTAAGTTGAAAACTTTTATGATGTTGATTTGGAGTTAGTAGAGACAAACACCAAATAACACGTAACAATAAAAAGGGTTTTAATAGGTTGGTAAACAGGTACAGAAATCGCTTGAGTAGTCAATAACTAGCTCAGCTAAGAACTTCTCTGTCTATCTGTCTTAGTATTTATCGATCCACCCACGAGGATTGAATATGGCACCAGGCCGGTTTAATGTGGGTATCTCCGAGCCCGTAGGCTCGGCTAAAAATATCCCCTTTGAACCCGCCTAGACGGGTTCAGGGCCTGTCTACCTCCCCGGACGAAACCTTGCTCTTCGGCAAAGCTTCGTCCGGGTTCCTCTCTGCCTCAAGCAGAGAGTTCGACAGACGTCGCTTACATTATTAGTGTGGTGTTTGATCATCGCTCCTTAATTCAAAGTTGAAGCCTTCTACCAGACTAAGCAAAGTTTAGTAAATGTGTGTGTGTGTGTGTGTGTGTGTGTGTGTGTGTGTGTGTGTGTGTGTGTGTGTGTGTGTGTGTGTGTGTTTGAAAACAAATCAGTGTGGCTGGATTAAAAATGGAAAAGAAAAAGAAAGAACAAAGATGGAAGATATGAAAATCTTATTACCCATAACCAAAAATGTCGTAAGTACTCACACATGTGTGAAGTAAATACTTGGCCAAATTTAAATGGAGCATCGTTATTGTCAGTAAATGTCCCCAATTCAAAAACAAGGACAAAAGGACATTTGTTTTCAAATTTTCCTTTAGATCTATGACAGCCAGTCGCAAATGGACTAATAGAAAATGTTTGTCAATTTTAGCTCAAGAGAAGATGTCTTATATTTCACGGACAACTTAGTTTAAAAGAATGCAAAAGTTATTTTTCCATTTTAAACCTTAAATTACTTCTTAAAATTTTAGCTTTTTAATTCCCTCCTTTCTAGATTTTTGATGAATACCTGGGAAAATGTTCATTTATGGCTGGAGAAACACATGACCGAACAAAGGACAAAAACTGTTGAATTCTATTTCGAATTCAGCCATTCTATATTGCCCGCAAAAAGAAAATCGCTATCATTTTCGAATTATAATAGCTTTCTCAAGATCTACTACAATGCTTTCAAACAAAACAAGCTGTTTCAAATTTGTCACGGCCAGGACACCCGCGAACTACCTAAAATTAAAAAAAAGGTCCGTTGTATATACGAGAGTATTGAAGCTGAACGAGAAGTTTCAACTCAAAAACGTTAAGGACAATAGCATATTTCTCAGGGATCACGACAGTTTTTTTTTCAAGGAATTCAAATTTATTCATTCAACAAGAATTTGAAATTAATTTCCATGACACACAATAAATATATCTAAGGGGAAAATTTATTTACTTTTTCATTAATTTTTTTTTTTTTTTACACTATTTACAATATTCGGACTATTGTCCTCATCTTTGTTGCCATATTTATCACAACGTTTCGGCTGTTGTACGCTCCGACCTTCTTCAGATGGTTGGAATGTTGACCTGAACCCTTTATTTCGCTCGCTGGGGTAGATTGTTCTACTTCTACGTGCGATGTCTAATGGATATCAGTTATCAGTTATCTCTTGTTAATCCACCTCACCAAGTTCTGTCTTAACCAGGTATTGAACTCACACTGTCACTGGATGTAACCAACGCCTTTATCCACTGTGCTATGTGTCCTTAAGGATAAAGGCGTTGGTTAGATCCAGTGACAGTGTGAGTTCAATACCTGCTTAAGGCAGGACTTGGAGAGGTGAATTAACAAGAGATAACTGATAACTGACATCCATTAGACATCGTACGTGGGACTAAAACAGTCTACCCCGGTGAGCGAAATAAAGGCGTTCAGCTCGACATTCCAACCACCTGAAGAAGGCCGGGGCGTACAACGGCCGAAACTTTGTGATAAATATGGCAACAAAGATGAGGACTATAGTCTGAATAATGTAAATAATGTACATAATACCTAATCTCAGAAATGTAGACAGATACTTTTGTTTGTTTTTTTTTCCTTTGATTTTTTTTTTTGTTTTTTTAATGAAAAGTGACATTTGTGCTGCTTGTATGAGAGAATCAATCTTGGGATTTTGCTTACTTGCTCAGGACTGGATATTAAAATATCCGAAAAAATCCGACAAGAAGAATTTGTCAAAAAATATAAATCCCAATTTTTCCGAGTAATGTCACTAAATTAATACTTTCACAGTAACCTTGGAATTAAATGAAAATCGTTAATTTCCAGAATATAAATAGTAAAGAAAGTTTACTTTGACAGAGAGTCACAATAATGCATTTAATATATATTTATATTATTCTTATATTTATATTATATATATTATATATACTGATTACACATTCAAGATGGCACTGAAACTAACAGTCATCATACAGTTATCCACAGTGTTTATATCTATAATTGTCCACAGAGTCTATATCTATACAGTTATCCACAGTGTCTATATCTATAAACGCACTATTTCTGATATTCTGATAGTGAACAAATCTTCCGGCAACAGCCAAGCTACCTGCACTTATCATTTGATTAGAGCGGCTTAGA